GAGGGTCTGTTCACACCTTATGCAGTGTGTTCCGGCCACTTTCCGGCCAGAACGCACTGCATCGCATTGCGGCCGGCTCCATTTTTTCCCGGGCAGGAGGGGGGCGTGGCGGGCCATTGAAGTGAATGGCGCCGTAGACAAGGGGGGGGCATTGCTGATGGTGCACACTATAAGGGGGGGGGGGCATTGCTGATGGTGCACACTATAAGAGGGGGGTGCTTGGCTGGAGCTTGGGCTGTGACGTCTGAATCACCAGTGACATCACTGGTTGCCAGGAGCTGAGCGGGACACCGTCCAGAATGTCTGAACTGGGAGGGGAGATGGGTATGGCCCTTACACATCTCCCCACCAAGCTCTTAGTAACCTGGGACACTCTGGCTGGGCAGAGCGCGTCCAAGCTGCCCCCCTATGTGACCCAAAGACAACAGCCTCGGGCTACTTTATTATAAGGAAGGCCCTGTGCAACAGAAGCACTTAAAGTAGATGGAAACCCTAACTGAATTCAGTTTGCAGATCTGCAGCCTTTTTGCAGCCACTTGCTGTCTACATGCACTCCAGCGATGGTTACATGGCAATTCCCAAGGCCGGGTTCCCGATGGTGACAATAGTGGAGCATGCCGGCCTAATATGTGTTGAAACAGCCACTTGCAGTCTCCATCGGAAGCCCACGTGACATGGTGACAGCTGATGACTACAGTTTGGAGACGGGGACAGATTTTTGTCACCTATAGCAGGAAGTGCCTAAGGGGAAAAGGATTCTTGAGAGGGACACAGGTTGGAAAAAAATAAAACCTGACAGGGGTTCTAACTCTGACCAGAAAAAAGTTTTGATTTTAGATATACAACTACTACACCTACTGGACTCGTGTGAATCGTGTCCAAGTCTATGGGGTGTGTTTATAAACAATTCACAGGGCCGTTTACCCTTCGCTCGTTCTGTGCCGATGGAGGCAAAAAGGAACGTTCTCAGTATATTTTCTTTCCAAGTCAAATGTAATATCAGAAAAATACCACATTGCAGCCACTAGATGGAGCCGAGGAGCAGAGGAAATCAATACTTCTCTTTTTATGCTCATCAGCTCCATCTTGTGGCCGTAATGTGGTATGAGAAGCTCAACTTCTTCAAAAACACAAAACAAGTCCAACCTCAATATACCTCCACCTTCCAGCACAATGTGGTTAGGTAATGGACAAACCTCTGCCACACCCCCAGTTATATATAGGCAATAGACACACCTCTGCCATACCCCCAGTTATATATAGGCAATAGACACACCTCTGCCATACCCCCAGTTATATATAGGTAATGGACACACCCCTGCCATGTCTCCAGTTATATGTAGCCAATGGATACACCCCTGCCATGCCCCCAGTTATATATAGGTAATGGACACACCTCTGCCATGTCTCCAGTTATATATAGGCAATGGATACACCCCTGCCATGCCCCCAGTTATATATAGGTAATGGACACACCTCTGCCACGCCCCCAGTTATATATAGATAATGAACACACCCCTGCTATGTCCCCAGTTATATATAGGTAATGGACGCACCCCTGCCATGCCCCCAGCTATATATAGGCAATGGACACACCCCTGGCTATATATAGGTAATGGACACAAAGATATATATAGGCAATGGACACACCCCTGCTATGTCCCCAGATACATATAGGCAATGGACGCACTCCTGACAGACGCCCAGTTATATTTAGGAAGAATATTGAGAATTAGTTTTTTCCGCAATTACTTTTCCAGATAGAAAACAAGATAATTAAGAGATGAGATGAAGGTTTTTATTTGGGATAACACTTTTGATAATTAAATAGAACATTTTCATAGATATCTGAATATCAGACCAGAAAGAGGGACAACTGAGGAGGAAAGAGGGACAGAGGGATTGGGTTCCAAATGAAGGTCAGTTGAGAGGTACTTCTCTTGGCTTGCTAGACCCCATATCACTTGTGGCATGCTCTGCTAGGTCTATGGTTGCCGTGGCCATTAACTTTTTGACATGTTAGGTGGACTAGTAGCCACATTGAAACAACAACAAAAAAGTATATCTGCAGTTTTTATGGTTCTTGCTCATTGACCTTTCATGTCACCACACGAGTCTCTGTTTTCAAGTGTAACATTCAAACACATCTGTTTACCACAGGAAATCAAAGTTTCTTAGTTCTGAATCTGATTTTATCTGGTAGCTCATCTCTGGCACACCTTCAAAGTCGGTGATGAAGCATTTGAAATGTGGAGGCAGAGAGACTATCCATCCTATATACACATGGCTAAACTTGACCTTCATAAAGTCAATCTTCTCTACAAACACAACTGCAAGGAGT